CTACAGAAAACCCAAAACCCAGGCACCGCTGTAAGGTTTGGGGTTTTGACTGATAAGACTCAGGTTGTCCCCAAAGCTGTAATTGAGAAGGGGCAAGCCTATCCAGCCCCTAAGCTTGTGAAGGGGGTGCAAGGTTTTGTAGGGATTTGGGGGTTTGGGATGGCTTTTAATACCCACCTGGCATAGTGCCCCTGTCCCTTATGTCACCTGGTAAAGAAAAGGCACCTGTGGGACTGGGGATCAGTGCAGCAAGCCGACCTTGAGAAAGCAAAACTACTAGTAAAGCAGATTAAAGCTCTGGGCATCTCCCAGGCAGGGCTGCGGTCTGAGTTAGATGTGTCTCTGCCTCTGGAAGGTATGAGCCAGGCACTGTGGCAGGGTGAACAGAAAGGGACAATGCCCCGAGGGTTTAGGTCCCAGCTTTGGAAGAGGGAGGAAAGCCAGCGCCCCCGGAGAGCACCTGGTTCCTACCTGTGTACACGGTGCTCCTCCAGGTAGAGCCTCCCGCAGCCGCCGGGCGCAGTGGCCAGCAGGCTGAGCTCAAAGTAGTCTGGCCAGGGATACACATGAGCCACGGTCTTTAACCCTTTGCATGGACAGCAGGTTGTTCGAAAGGGATTAACCTTACGGCTCCGAAAATGCGAAGCTGAGGGGAAGATCGAGAATGAGGCTTTGTGGGGGCAGGACATGTGGAGAGACATTTGGGTTCACCTGCAAGAGCCTGAGGCAGTCTCTCCGGTTTTCCTATCTCGGTGCATAAGGCACAAGCCCTCGCAATCCGGAAGCTGATGCTCCAGCTCGCAGCCGAGCCCTAGCGACTGACCCTGGAGTGGATGGGGCCGATCGGGTACAGGGAGAGTGGCCAGCACCGTGCCCCAGCAGGATGGCACTCTGCCAAGGATGCCTGATTGCCCTTCGGTACAGTGACGTGGTTACTGCAGTAATAGTAGGTCCTGTGTGCTCTAAACAACGCCCAAGACAATTGCCAGAAATCTGGGGCCATCCACCAGAGTTCCCAGCCACTGAGCGGCTGGCTGATCGATCCTGTCAGCCCCCTCCCTCTATATATGCCTTGGTTTGTGTGGACACTGCGTGTGGCTTAACCCAAGCTGCCCCTCGTTGCCGTGCAGACCAGGGAACTAGAGAAACTGACTACCATGTAGAGACGGCTTCGTTGACTAGACGGTCAGTGGGGGCCACATGTCAAAGGTCATGGTTTGCCAGACCAGCCAATAAAGCATGACACCGAATGGAGGTCCCATCCCCCCTCCAACCTGCAAGCAGCAGGGTTGGTAGAAAGGGGAAAGTTGAGTATTAAAGCAGCAAATTCCATTTTCTTTTAATTTTTTAAAAATTTAAAGAAACGGTAGTTTCTTAAGATTTATTTATTTATTTGACACAGAGAGAGAGAGAGAGCACAAGCAGGGGGAGCAACAGACAGAGGGAAAGGGAGAAGCAGGCTCCCCGCTGAGCAGAGAGCCAGACACGGGTCTCGATCCCAGGACCCCGGGATCATGACCTGAGCCGAAGGCAAAGATTCAACAGACTGAGCCACCCAGGCGCCGCTCAATTTTTTAAAGATTTATGCACTTTACTGAGTGTTACACCTCAATAAAAGTTAACAATGATGCCTGATAATAAGGATGATGATGGGTGCTCGGGTTCTGGGCGGCATCTCCTTAGACCCTAACCCCACTGCCTTGTAATTACTCATTCACAGGACCGCTAAGGCACAGGGGAGCTTTTGTGCAAAGGACTGGAAATGGGAGCACATGGCTTGCAGAGAAGGGGCTCCGGCTGGCACTCGGCACCGGCCTTAATCGGCCCACGCACTAACCCTGTGTCGGCAGCGTGTCTGGGGGTGGATGGCACTGCCCAGCGCCGCCCAGACAAAGGTGTGGACGTGCTTCCGGCCCAAAGTGGGGGGCAGTGGCTCCCCTGAAAGCAGCAAATTAAATTATTAACAGGTGAAACCACCTCGGCTGGGTGAACTAAAGTACTGTCCCAGGTCTTGGTGCACTGAAATAACCTACCAGTAGGCCTATTGCCCCATATACCAGATTGGGGGCCCCCAGTGAGGCCCCCAACACGGCAGAGGTATAGAAGCAGTGGGAGACAGCCATCGCCCCGACTCTCACCGAAGATCGATGTGCTCTGCTACTGAGAGCACCCAGCTCCATCGCGCCTGGGAGAGGAATTATCTACTGGGATTTACAGTGGGACGCCCCCGTCAGAATGGGTGAGTTAGTTCACACCCTGGGTCAAGGGGACCCACTCAGTCTCCCCCAGGATCCCCTTGTCCTGCTGCAAGCCGGACCCTCGGAAACACACTATACCTGGATTGGAACGCACACCGCCAAGAGAAGGGAGAAGGTGGGGGTCCCCGTCTGGCATAGCCGCACCCGGTCCATCTTCCACGCCCGACTGTCCTGCCTTCCCCAGCCAGCATGTACGGAATGCACAACCAGGTCAAGTTTCTAAAGCTGCCACCCTCCCTCTCCTCCGGGCCCATGCACATTCTCTTTTCCCCTAGTCCTATCAGCTGGCCTCTGTCTCTGTCCCCTTCACTGATTTAGAGGAATTGTAGCACACGTAGAAACCTCTACCAAATTCAATCAGCAAGCCTTGTGATAACCAACAGAGCCTGTCCTTCCTGAACACTGACAGGTCTCCGCTGAGAAGAGCTGTCCTCTGAAATAAAATGGCCTTATTGCCTTATAAGGAGGCCCCTGGGCCATTACCCAAATAGAACATCCTGTGTTCGCACCTCTCAGCAAGTCCCTATTATGTACGTCCTTCGAGTCCACCCTGTGCCCTTTTGGAGACAACCATCCCCCACAGTTCCCAGGGAAGCAGGACCATCATACTGTCCCTCTTCCCTCTTCCCTCAATCTCAGGCCACAAACCCCATCTTTCCAAGGCTCTCAGTGAAGTAAGAGTAGGGAAGGTTGGAAGTGGGCTCTCAGGATGAGGACGAGGGAAGGAGTAGTGGACTAGATCTGCTCTGCTAACTGATCCCCCCTCCTCCCTATTTCTCAGAAAACCCCCCATCATTCAGCTCTGCTCTGTTTTCCTGTATAAACTCAGTTCAGCCCTGTGCTGTCTCTAGACCTCAGTTTCCCCATATGTCAGATGAAGTGGCTAGATTTAGACTCTGCCCACCACGACCTCCTTCTGGGAGTCCACGGCAGGATGATAGACGTGTCCGCAGTGTGCACGACCCGTCCTGTGCCCATAGCAGACGTGACTAATCAAACTTTGCACTCTCTCCTATTGATTCCACCCACCCACGGCATCAGAGTCCTTGCCAGTGACACACGTTATGGTGACATCAGCCATTAGCCAGATCCAGGCTCAAGATCAGATCACTTCAGGTGAGACAAACCCAGCTCCCCAAACCAGGTGTGAATGGAGCTGCTAGAAATCGCTCTGTATTTTGGGGGTCCTCCTGACAGCAGCCCAGGTCAGGGAGTTGGAGGTGGTGGTGGCCACAGGCAGCACTACAGTTTTGGCCCAAGCCCGACCTTAGGTCCCTCCCCAGCAGCCACCCACCCACGGGCTGCCTCCCCACCCCACTTTTCTATTAAAAAAAGAAAAGACATGGCGCTGTATTCTGGGAACCTAATTATAGATCTGCTACAAGGGGTCCTTTCTAACCACAAGAGCTCCGTCATCAGACATATCTAAAGAGAGAGTCGGGTCAGTGAGTCTGTCAGGGGGCTGCAGAGGGGACTTTGGCCCTGAAAGTGGCGGGACCAGCGGCCCAGACGTCCTGCCCAACCAGGGCCTGTTGAGACAAAGCCCCAAGAGCAGGATCTTTGCACTCCCGGACAGGACCCCCACCTTTCAGGGACCACTGAACACCTGGGCAGTAGCAGGACAGAGGGGTGGTGGAGTTAGGGCGCTGGAGGGGCACGGGGAGCTCACAGAAGGGTGCAGCTGTGGGAGCCCAAGGCCCAGCCTATCAGCTGCTGCCTGCTGTCAGTGTAGGGCGGGTAGTGGAATTCACTGAGCTTCTCCAGGCCCGAGGGGGAGAGCAGACTGGCACGGTGGTGGGAGAAGGTGTCCAAGGAGAACTTGCCGCGGTATCTTCCCATGCCACTGTTACCTGCATGGGCACGGAGGTGAGGGCCTGAGGCAGGCAGCCCAGCCAGCCTTCACAGCAGCCCACTGCCCAGGCGGGAGCCCCCAGCTGGCACGGCGCTCAGGGAAAGCCAAGCCACTCTAAGAGCCATTTTGCAGATAGGGAAACAGGGCTTTAGAGACCCAGCGCCTGGATCAAGTTAGGACAGAGGGTGAAGGCAAAACTGGGCCCTCCCAGGATGGGAATACCAACCCTGGGGGTGGGGGCTGGAGAGTGGAGGAGGGCAGGGCTCACCAACTCCCCCCAGCGGCAGGGACGGCAGAATCAGGTGAATGAAGCCCTGGTTGCCTCAAAAATGCCGCTGCTGGTCCAATCCAGCATCTGGGTCACTACCTGGGGAGAGGTGGGAGAGGCCCGGTGGTGGGCTCATCATCAGTAAAGAGGACTTGAGTCCCCAACCATTCCATGGGGAGCAGAGGAGCCTCCCCTGTTCCCATCCTCTACTGAGATGTCTCCCCTGTGAGCACTTTCCACACAGAGGGGAGCCCGTGGCGGGAAGGGGAGCCAGCGCCAGCAGGGCACAAGCCCCACCGTGGCCAGCCTGGCTCTGACTGTCGGGTCCTGGCTTGGCTCTGCCCCCTCCCCCCTCCGGGGCGTCTCCTTGCCCATACAGGGCCTTTGCTTGGTTTAGGAAGACCGGGCTCTCTGGGTAGAAAAAAGCACCTCTTCTCTTGGTGGAAGCTGCCCCAGCCACACATCTGACAGTCTTTTGGCCTTGCCCAAGCCCCCTCTGGCAGGAGTCCTTGTGCAGGGAACCGCTGTCCGGGTGATGCTGCCCTAACCCTCCCAACGTGGGCTGTCAAGGGGAAGGTCACGGGTCTGCACCTTTTTCAGCCCCTCTCTTGTCCCAGCCCTGCCGGAGCACCCTCACCTAATTGCTGTTGGAGAAGGCATGCAGGGCCAGGGTCTTCTCCCGACGGTGGATGAAGTCGATGGCCTCGTCCAGGCTCCTCACGTTCACGATGGGCAGGATGGGGCCGAAGATCTCCTCCTGCATCACCGGCTCGGTCTCCTGCACGTCCACCAGCACCGTGGGGGCTGCGGGCACAGGGGCCGGCTCAGCCCTGGGGCCGGGCGGGGGAGGGGGGGCACGGGCAGGGCTCAGGGGCCTTCTGGGGAAGAGAGCGTCCCCGCAGCCCCCGGGAAGGCCGGTGAGGGGTTGTCCAGCCCCGGCGGGGGCCGGCCCAGGTGGAGCGGAGGTCAGGGAGGCGGGGGCCCAGGCTGGCCTCGGCGGTCCAGCTCCGGGAGCCTCGGGGCGGGGCGGGGCGACGAGGGGGGCGGGGCGACGAGGGGCGGGGGCGGGGCGACGAGGTGTCGGGGGCGGGGCGACGAGGTGTCGGGGGCGGGGCCCAGGCTCGCGGCCCAGGCGGGACCCGCGTCCTGGAAGGGCCTTGGCAGGGTGGCCACGGCGGCGGCAGGGCGGACTGGACTCACCGATGTAGCGGTCGCGCTCGTCGCTCTGGCCGCCGATGACCACGCGGCCACAGCCCAGCAGGCCCCGGAGCCGCCGGAAGTGCTTCTCGCTGATGATGCGGCCCAGGCTCGGGGAGCTCTGGGGGTCCTCGCCGTAGAAGCGGGTGATGGCCCTCTGCAGGGCGGGCAGCAGCCGCTCCTGCGTGTCCGGGCTGCACAGGACGTAGTCGGGGGCCACGCAGGTCTGGCCGCTGTTGAAGTAGCGGAACCAGGCCACGCGGTTGGCCACGGTCTGGGGGTCGCAGTCGTCGTCCACGTAGCAGGGGCTCTTGCCCCCCAGCTCCAGCGTGACGGGTGTCAGGTGCTTGGCGGCGGCAGCCATGACGATCCTGCCCACTTGGGGGTTCCCTGGGGATATGGGAGTTGATCCCCCATGTTCAACCAGCCTTGGGTTAGATGGTCGAGGCACCACCTATTCTGGCCCATTGTACCTTGTCTGCTGGGATCTGTCCCAGGCCCTGCTGCCCCAGCATTCCACCCTCTAAGGCCCAGGGGCTGACTGCCATAAGGGATGCTCACCACTGCTGGCCACCAGCTCCTCTCTCCCCAGCCTTCCCCCCCACCCCCACCCTGGTTGAAGCTACTCTCACCAGTGAAGAAGATGTAGTCGAACTTGTGCTCCAGCAGCTGCCGAGTTTCCGGGGGCCCTCCCAGCACCACGGCAAAGCAGTTCTGCAAGGTGGGGCAGGTGGTTCAAGGGACACTGCAGGCCCTGGGGACAGCTGGCCCTCCCCAGCTGACAGGGTGGGGCGATGTGGGACGCTGGGGGCTCATGGGGCGGGTCCAACCTCACCTGGTCCAAGTATTGAGGCAGGACCTTAGCCAGGACCTTCTCTGTGCCCTTACTTAATTCTGATGGCTTCAGCACCATGCAGTTCCCTGCAGGGACAGATGGGGATGTCATGGGGGAGATGCCAGTGCCCCCCACACACCCAGGGCAGAGATGCAAGGAACGTGCCAGAGGCTGGGGGTACCACATAAATGGAATTCTGGGGGCCCCCTTTGGGAAGGGCTATTGGGCATGGGCTCAGAACTCTCTCCTCACCTGGGGCGAGGGCACCCACTAGCGGCACCAGGGTCAAGTGCACAGGGTAGTTCCAGGGGGCGATGATGAGCACCAGGCCCAAGGGCTCCTTCCAGACGAAGGCCGAGTCCAGGCGCGCGAACTGTAGTGCAGGACACGTGGTAGGGCGTGGCGGGGGCATCACCCCAAAGCTGCCCCCCAGGGTCCTCGAGGGGCCTGTGGACTGGAGTCCTCATGAGGAAACGGGCCCCAAGGAAGTCAGAGACTCGCCGTGGGTCGGAGGCGGTGAAGAGGCCTGGGCTGGAGCTGCCGCTGGGCGCTTCCCCGCCCCCGGCAGCCGCTCACCAGGCTCTTGGCTACGGGCTCATCCTTCATCCAAGTGCGTAGGTTCTTGAGCGCCAGGTCAACCTCGTTCTGGCATATGACGAGCTCGGATAGCTCTGCCTCAAAGACTGACTGCAGCGGAGAGAGATTCAGGCGTCAGGCCTGGGCCCGGGCAGGGAGGGGATCTAGTGCTCAGGATCCCCAAAAGTCCCAGCTCCGGGATTATGGAGACAGCCTCCAGAGGAAGCACAGCCAGGCCCCTGGGAACAGCACGGTGAGCAGGGAGGAGCCCGGGCCCCAGGACAGGTGACCCGGGCTCCGGCTCCCGCTCTGCCACTTCCTAGCTGCGGGACCTCGGGCAAGTGTCTTAACCCCCATACACCTCAGTTTCCCCCTCAGTAACTTGGGGGCCGTGCCTCACAGGTTCGGACGGGTGAATGCTGACACACACTGCATGCCAGGGAAGGGTCTATGAAATAAACGGGAATGAATTAGGGGCACCCCCAGGGGGTGGGCTTTGCCGGTTGCTTAGTCCCCCCCTCAGGGAGGAAGCTGTGGGCCCCATTCCTCATGTCCCCCCCAGCCCCGCCTCCCCAGCCCCCCAACCCGCCCTCCACCCGCCCCCCGCCCCCCCGCCTCCCCAGCCCCGCCCACCTTGCGCAGGTCCTGCACCAGCGCCTCCTGCAGAAACTGCTTGTTGTCCCGCAGGAAGCGGCCCAGGCCCTTGAGCTGCGCCGCCCGGAACTCAGCGGGCCTCGTCCGCCCTGAGCCGCAGGCCTCCCGCAGCCGCCGCAGGGTGTCCGCGAAGGGGTCCATCCTGCAGGGAGGGGGCAGCGTGGGCCGGGGCTCTCCACTTTCATGGGCATTCTCCCCGCGCCCCTGGCTGTACCTCTATGGGCTCACGGACACTTCTACAAGGACTCGCGTGTAACCCCAGAGGGCCGGGGCTGCCCCTGCACCCCTCCAACACATGGGTCCCTCCCATTTCCTTCTTTTTATTTATTTATTTATTTATTCATGAGAGTCAGAGAGAGATAGAGAGAGGCAGCGGCAGAGAGAGAAGCAGGCTCCCCGCCTAGCAGGGAACCCGATGCGGGACTCGATCCCAGGACCCTGGGATCGTGACCTGAGCCGAAGGCAGACGCTTAACCATCTGAGCCACCCAGGCGCCCTGAAAAGGATCTTTACAGATGTAATTAAGGATCTCGAGATAAGATCATTCCGGATTAGCCAGCGGAGCCCTAAATCCTACGATGAGTGTCCTCGTCAGAGAAAGAGATTTGAGATAGAAGAGGAGGAGGCCACGCGAAGATGAGGCAGAGATTGCCACGAGCCAAGGAGCCCCCGGAGACCCCAGAAGTTGGAAGAGGTAAGGCAGGACCCTCCCCTAGAGGCGCTGGAGAGAGCGTGGTCCTGTCATACCTGATTTCAGACTTCTGACCTCCAGAACTGTGAGAGAATGAATATCTGGTTTCTAAGCCACCAAGTTTGTGTAATTTGTTACCGCAGTCCTAGGAAACTGACACAATGGGTATGTAACAGTATCTTACAATTGTTGTAATTTTTATTTTACCAGTTACTGCTGAGGTTGAGCATAGTCTTATTTGCTTATGGGCTCTTCGGGCTTCTTATCAGTTCTTTCTTTCTTTCTTTTTTTTTTTTTTTTGCATGGTTTTCTACTGTGTTATTTTTCTTTTGTCTTATTGGTTTGTAGGAATTCTGTATATTCAAAACAGTAACCCTTTGCTGTGTATCTATTTTTTTTGGTAACTAATAAACTTTATTTTCTAGAACTGTCTAGGTACACAGCAAAATTGAGTGAAAAATACACATAGTTCCTGTATACCCCTTTGTCCCCCCACACACATACTCAACATCCCTCATCAGAGGCGTTAACATCAGTGAATCCACACTGACACATCATCATCCCCCAGAGTCCACAGTTACATTAGGGTTCCCACTCGGTGTTAGACATTCTATGTGTTTTGACAAATGCATAAGAACATGTACCCGCCATTGTAATATCATAAAGAATAACTTCACTGCCCTAAAATCCTCTGTGCTACACCTGTTTGTCACTCTTTCACTCCAAACCCCTGACGACCACTTTTTTTTTTTTTTTTTTTTTTTTTACTGTTTCCATAGTTATTCTTTTTCTGGAATTCCACATGGCTGGAATCACACAGTACGCAGCCTCTCAGATTGACATCTTTCGCTTAATCATATGCATTTAAGTTTCCTCCATGTCTTTTCATGGCTTGATAGCTCATTTCTTCTTAGCCCTGAATAATAATATTCCATTGTCTGGGTGGACCATAGTTTATTTATCCTATGGATAGGACCTATAAAAGGACATCTTGGCTGCTTTCAAGTTTTGGAAATTATGAATAAAGCTGCTATACACATCCATGTGAAGGTTTTTGTGTGGACATAAGTTTTCAACTCCTTTGGGTAAATACCAAATATTTCACTTGACTTTTTTCTTGCTTACATGGTTTCTGAGAGTTCAGATATAATTTTTATTTTTGTTCCTCTATAGATCAGGTATGGCTAAGGTATCCCCCCTCTGATTTCTTCCAAGATTTTTTCTTTATCTTTGATTTTCTAAAGTTTGAATGTAATATGCCCAGATGTAGCTTTTTTTGCATTTAGCCTGCTTGGTGTGCTCTGAGATTCCTGGATCTGTGGTTTGGTGTCTGATGTTAATTTGGGGAAATTCTCAGTCATCACTCCTTAAAATACCACTTCTGTCCCTTTTCTCTTTTCCTTCCGGTTTTTCTATTACATATATGTTACACCTTTTGTTATTGTCCTACAGTTCTTGGATGTTCTGTTCTATTTTTTTTTTTCTTTTACCCAATCTTTTTTTCTCTTTACTTTCCTATTTTGGAAGTTTCTCATGTCATATCTTCACGCTCAGAGATTCTTTCCTCAGCCATGTCCAGGCTGCTAATTAGCCCCTCAAAGGCATCCTTCGTTTCTGTTACAATATTTTTGATCTCTAGCATTTCGATTCTTTCTCAAAATTTCCACCTCTCTGCTTACATTATCCATCTGTTATTGAATGTTGTCTGCCTTTTCCATTAAAGCTCTCAGCATGTTAGTCATAGCTCTTTTAAAACTCCTGGTCTGATAATTCCGACATCCATGTCATATCTGACTCAGTTCTGATGCTTGTTCAGTCTCCTTGGGCTGTTTTTTGCCTTTTAGTATGCTTTGCAATCTTTTTTTGAAAGGGGGACATGATGCACTGGGTAGAAGGAACTGTGGTAAATAGGCCTTTAGAAATGTGGGGAAGAAAAGGGCGCCTAGGTGGCTCAGATGGTTAAGCGTCTGCCTTCGGCTCAGGTCATGGTCTCAGGGTCCTGGGATCGAGTCCCACATTGGGCTTCCTGCTCCTTGGGAGCCTGCTTCTCCCTCTGCCTCTCTCTCTCTCTCTCTCATGAATAAAAAAAAAAAAATCTAAAAAAAAAAAAAAGAAATGTGGGGAAGTGTCATGGAAGGGAGGCCGTGGTGCAGTCCTGTGGTTTTGTCTCAGTCTTTTGGTGAGCCTGGGCCCCCGACTGAACTCGAGAGCTTCTCCACTTTTTCTCTCCTTAGATGGGACAGGATGGTTAGAGGGGCCTGGAGCTGTGTATTTCCCTTCCTCCAGGTGGGGTAAGCTCTGATAAAACCCGAGAGGTTAGGCTCTGGTAAAATCGTTTCCGCTGAGGGCAGGCCTTGTTAAGAACAGAAAACTCCGGCATATTTCAGAATTGTTCTCTTCCCCTCCCCCTGCTGGAAGCACGAAGGGATTTTTCTCCAATATTCACTATAAAGATCAAGTAGAACTCCTGGAGGTAAAACCTATGGAAGTTGCGTGGAGGGGCCCCCCATAACTGGGGCCCCCTGGATTTTTTAACTCTCAGAGTTATTCACACTGAGCCTCCAGAAATTCCCTGATCACAGTTCAGGTTTTTCTGCTCTGTCACCGGTTCCTGCAGAAGTTTCTTTTCATAGGTATGTTTCTGCTCTCCTAAGTTGTATTTCTCTGTATCCACTTGTCTGTCTCTCCAATTCTGGGGGCAGCAGTTTGCCCTGTGACTTCACTTCTCTGACCAATCCAAGAAGAGCTGTTGATGCCTCAGTTTGTTCAGTTTTGTACTTGCGGTTAAGAGGGAGTGAGGACTTCTCAGCTCCTCGTGTGCTGGGCTGGCAGCCAAGGAGATATCTTGAGAATATCTTCTCTGAGCTGGCAGCTTGTATTCCCACTCTGTTTATGGTACCCTTTGTGGATTAGATTTGAATTTAGTGTTGAAGAAGAGAAGACCGAGCCCTGACATCTGGGAGCTGGGATGGCACGACCAGCCAGGACTTGCTCTCTCCTGTTGAACAGGAACAAGTCCACAGAATAACAGAATCAAAGACATTCTGCAGCTTTGATGGATGGAGACAAAAACAAGATCATTCCATAAACAAGACTGAACGCTAACAGGCATCAACACTGTCTGAACCACAATAACCACCTCACCGTTTTTCCATCCTGATAATATGTGTGACTGTGGCTGTGGGCCAATTGCAGCTTTACCTTCGTGCTCATCTGCACTCCGTATAGATAAAATGTGTTCAGATACCCAATCATAGAAAGATCCCTGCTCTAAAAGCACCTGGTCCAGAGCAAAGCCCAGCATCCTCAAACCTCCCTCTAGTTACTCGACGCAAACACAAATCCTCTAAGTCTTTTCCAACACCCTCTTATTGAGATACTTACAGTTCTCCATCTCAAAAGCAATAAATCCAACTTGTTCAAAGAGTAATGTGTTCTCATTGATCTTTGGCTTGAGGACATTGACAATATAGTCCAATTTGTTTCTACTTTAAGATTTGTGCTTTTTATATCTTGTTTAAGAAATTTTTCTCTACCCTAAGTTCATTTAAAAAGTTGGGTTTGTGTGTGTGTTTTCTTCCCAAAGTCAGCTTTTCACTTTAAGTTCTTCTAGAATTTATTTACTTTTGTGAATTGTGTGAGGTAGAGATCTAATTTAACTTTTTTCCCCCATAAATATAACTCATTGTTCTAGCAACTGGCTGGATGATAAATCATTTGTACTAAGTCTGTTTCTGGGTTCCATACTCTATTTCATTGATTTATTTATTTCTCGATCCCAATACCAATACTATACTGTCTTAAACACCATTGTTTAATAAAAAGTCTTGAAATCTAGTAGGGTAAATTTCCCTACCTTGTTTTTCTTCTAAATTATCTTGGCTTATTCTTGGCTTATTTGTTCTCCATAAACATTAGAATCAGCACACCAAATTCCTTGAAAACTTCTGTTGGGGTCTTCATTGGAAGTGTTTAAATTTATAGATCATTTTTGGTGAATGTGACATCTTTATGAATCTTCCCATCCATTAACATGGTATATCCTTCCACTGACTTAGCTCTTTATTACTGTCTTTTAATACAATATTGTATATTTTTCCACTAGCACATCTTTACCTAGATGAATACCTAGGTAGCTTGTTTTTATTGCTGCTCTAAAAATCATACTCTCCAAAAGGGTGTAGGAGTATGGGAATGCAATTTATGTCTCTGTATTAATCTTATTTTCATTACTGGTTCTAACAATAATGAGGTTTTCATGTAAATGAAGATAAAATCTGTAGAAATTGACAGATTTGTTTCTTTCTTTTCAATTCTTACACTGCATTGGTTTTTCTCATTCTGTGTGCAGTAGGACCTCCAGTACAATGTTGAATAGAAGCAAATTACAGTGGGAATTTTTGTCAAGTTCTTGTCCTTGATGGACTGTGAATAATTCACCTTTAAAAATAATGTTTGCTGCACATTTTTGGAAGATTTCTTTACCTTTCTTTGGAAGATTTTCTATACCTAGCTTGATGAGAAATCTTGTTTATTTTGTTTATTTTATTTTATTTTATTTTATTAAGATTTTATTTATTTATTTGAGAGAGAGAGAATGAGAGACAGAGAGCATGAGAGGGAGGAGGGTCAGAGGGAGAAGCAGACTCCCTGCTGAGCAGGGAGCCCGATGCGGGACTCGATCCCGGGCTCCAGGATCATGACCTGAGCCGAAGGCAGTCGCTTAACCAACTGAGCCACCCAGGCGCCCTATTTTGTTTATTTTACATCATGAATGGATATTGAATTTCATCAAATGTTTGGACCTAGTAACTTACTCCTAAAGAATGAAATAGAGCAAAGGTGATGAGATCTCATTTTTAAGACTGGATTATAAGGATTATGAGTCACAGAACATTAAAAGGATTGTGCACCATGACTTAATGGGATTTGTCCCAGGAAGGCAAGGGTGATTCAACATGAGGAATCAATCAATATAATATGCCACGTTAATAAAATAAACAGGAAAAAGCATGATCATATCCTTGGATATAAAAAAATTTGACAAATTCAACACATTTTCATAATCAAAACCACTGGGCAAACTAAGAATTGAAAGGAACTTTCTGAACATGATAAGAAGCATTTATGAAAAACCCACAGCTAACTTCACACTTGGTGGTGAAAGACGGAGAACTTTCCCCTTACAATCAGGAAAAAGACAAGGATGACTGCTTTCACCACGGCTGTTCAATATTTTCCTGAAAGTTTAGCTGGAGTATTTAGGAAATAAATAAATAAATAAATAAATAAATAAATAAATAAATAAATAAAAGACATTCAAA